TTAAGTTTTAAGGAGGTCAGTGCTTTTTTTTTTTTGTTATTTATAGGGCAAAAAGTACTACTTTTAAAATATAGGTCAAAAAATTACACAATCCCTAACAAATCTCTTAAATACCCTTTTAGTAAAAATAGAAACCAATTCCGATATTTTTGCCTCTACAACTGAAATATCAAAGATATCAACTGTTCCCATAAAACTCCTTCAATATCACCGAAACCTCCATTATTCCAAGATTGATAAAAAAAACTTCTATAAAACCTCCATTCTTTTCAAAACATTCTAATTCTAATGGATCCACACGATTTTTTTCTTATTGAAAATCAACTCTCGATCAAAGTATCAACGAAGTCCAAATATCTTTTGTTTCCGATCAAGAGGATTCATCGAGATAGCAAAACTCTCTAAGGACTTGAAGCACAAGGTTCCGAACATTCTCGATGTTGAGTGTGGATCGCAAAGGAGGGTTGTGGGATTATAAAAAACACCATGAATTTGTACATGAAAAAAGAGGGTTCTGAGAGGATTCATTTTTTTTTAAAGGGTTTGCAGACAATGGGGCAATGTTCAATGCAAAGAGTGTATGATATGTTTTTTTTAGAAAAATTTTACACCTCATCCTTTCTAATTTATTATATTTTTAAGAGATACTCTCTCTATTATCAAAAACATTATTGACACCCTTTCTAGTGTGACATTGGCTTATATCAGTGTGACATTAGTTTGTAGCAGTGTCACATTGACTTATAGCATTGTGACATTATTGTGTATCACTGTGTCAATGTGACATGTTCTATTGTACTAATTTAAATCTAAAATATTCATGAAAAAAAAAAACACTCGTAACACATCAATAGTATTATATAAGGTGATAATTATATATTGCTCATTATGATTTATAAAGAAAACTAAAAAAAAGTATATAAATGTAGAGAAAACATAAATAAAAAAAAATCATATAAAATGTAGTGTGACTTTTTTGATGATATAACAGTGTACAAAATTTTGGATGGTAACAGTGTATTATTACTGGTACCGTTGTATTAGAAGGTGTCACTGTGATATTTTGGTTTATAGTATAATAACATTGATTGACGGGAGGGTGTCATTGACAGATATTTTCAGTTTGAATGATAGAAGAATAAATATGAAATGAATGTTTTAATAAATGATTGTTCAATTATAGATGAATAGGTAATTTTAAAATTACAAAAAGATATACCATAAAATTAGAAAACTGAATCCCTATATTAATTTGTCATATTTGTCTCCCATTAATAAAAGAAAAGAAGAATAATTTAGTAAGAGAAAAAAATTATAATTCAGGAAAGGGAATACCTCTTCATCAAATATTTACACATAAAGATACTTATACACATATATTTTATATCGAAGTACTTTTACACAAATAAGTTATGAAAAGGGGTACTTTTTCACAATTTTTTCTTTTAAGTTTTTATTAGGTTCCAAATGACATAACACTAATAAAAAAAGTTCAAATCAATTGTCATGTCATTTGAGTTCTAAATTTGGTCCATCTAGCATTACTACCTATTTATTAGTAAATCTAATGAATTTACTACTTCCCCCAAATTAATTAATAATAAATCTAAAATTATTAATGGTATGATTAATTTTTTGTTGAATTTTATGAATCGTGTGTTAGACTATTCACGCTTAAGTTTAATGCTTAGACAATATTGATCAATGGTCTTTGGTCCAATAGTACTCCTTATCTTATAAAAATTTTTATCTTTGTTATATCAAGAGTTCAAATCACTTCTCCGTCCTCCCTTCTTCCTCAAAAAAGACAAAGCAACATTGACAAGAAAGGTCAACAACGGAGGCCTTAGGAAAGGAAATTTGAAGAAAATCCAGGGGTAAACTTTGAGACACCATCCATATTTGAGGGCGTGTATAAGGCAAAACCATTTTAATAATATAAACTCACCTGTTATTTTAGGTGTGCATTTAAATTTTAAACAGGGTTCCATTCCACCACGTTAATGGTCACATCTAGATCGTTGGGCCTTGTGATTTGTGAATGTGTTTATCTTCAACAACTCTTCTATTATTTAACATATTATAAATTAACATCCGAATTCCAATAAAAATAGAATACAAATTTAAACACTTTACAGTAAAAAATCATATAAATTTTAATAACGTTACTCGACTTAATAATATGACAGTAAAATAATTTAATAGTACTATCAGGAGTATAATTGTTAATAAAAATTTATTTTAATTTTATGACTTACACATTATTTAAATCATAAATTAGATTAATTTTTTAGTCTCGATAACATTATTTATATTTACGGTCCAAGACGAAGCAGCCCCATGAATGTTGAATCAACATGTTCCACGTGGCAGTGGCACTGGTGTATGGGACCTTTATCTCCACGTCACTCTTATCTTCCCTCTATTCTAACGAGTCAATACGCGGCGCACCGATCCGTATCACGAATTACACGTTTAGCAGCGTCTTAAAAAATTTATTCAGAAACATAAGAAATAAACAATTACCTTTAATTTGCCTTTTGGCAAGGATGAAGGGGCAGGATCAGCGAACAAAGTCCATGCTACATATATTAATTTATCATAAGATAATATATATATATATATATATAGCTGGTAATAAATACATAAACAAGTTAATCCGGTCAATAAATCAGTCAATACAAACCTACTGCACAAAGCCGACGCGATACCAATCAGATAAGATACAAACCGTCACGCATACCAGAAATAAATTCAAGTACTTGTGTTATATAACACGTGGTAAGACGTCTAAAATATAAAGATGTTAAGTAATCCAAATCAAAGATAAAATTAATCATTACCATGGTCTACTCAGGTATGAATGTACAGGGGTGATATAGGAAATATCCAGAATTTTAGAGAGCTACGCATCGCCCTCCTCTAAATTATATCTTTTCATGAATTTAAAAGATGAAACAATTGTAAGTATCAATATCTTCCCGTGAGAAAACAGACAATGTATCTGTACTTTTACTTCATGCTTGTATATGTAAAAATTCTGATACCCATTCTCAGGAAGCATGAGCGATTAACATCATCATTGGTTTAGTTCGGATGACTTTGTGGTGATCATGAAGGATGCTGCTAATGAGTAACAGGTTCAAAGCAGAGATGGCAAGGCACATTAACCTGCAAAATAACTTGCACTGTTGGATTGTTTGATCATAATATGCGAACGCCATTGCAGGTAATGGACACACCACCATATTTAGCAAATTAGTCTTTGCAGAACAAAATTGCTAAAAAAAACAACACCATTCATAAAAGAATTATAACACAAAAAATAAATGGTCCTGTTTTCTGCCTCCTTACACTATACGTTAACGAGTAATGGCAAAGCCAAAAGCAGGCTTATAAAGGTGTAATTATAATTTACCCCCACGAAGATAGTTCTCAATTGGATGATCTGGCTCAGAAACCATATAGAGCCAGCAAAAAAAAACATTAAAAAACACTGAGAATAATCCACTCCCAAAGAACAACAAAGTTTTATAAATTTTAGAATGAACATATTGAGGATCCAAGGTGCAGCTACACGGCTAACTGCTCTTTTGAACAAACTCATGACAGCTCTGAAAGTGCTTACACGAGTGGCAAAAGGACAAGTCAATCATAGATGTTGTCAACACATATGCCAGGCAGACTTGTGGCTGGTACAGACAAGCCACTAGCAACTTATTACAAGTCCTATTTCTGAGAAGACCAGAAGAGAAATGAGATTGGATGTTACATGCAACAATTCGAGTGGTAAAAACTTAAAACCATGGATTGTCTGACTGCAGAGAAATCTAAGGGTAAAATGGGTCCTGGGGACCATATTACATGTTGAAACTGGGGTTGCGGTTTTTTACTCCCTACCACTGTTCATCAACTAATGAATTAACAAAATCATATAATCGATCCAAGGGGAATTACATGACCCTCTGAGATTTTATAGCACAGCATTGGCAGACCCTAAGGTTATGTATTCAGATCAGAGGACATCTTTGTGCAAATAAAACCAAATGTTAGGTCCCCACTCAACCCTCCTAGCACCATCCTTAACAAAAATCAACCCGAGTAATGGTTATTTTAGCTCTGGTAAAACCTACAGTTTGTGTCTACATGCATATGTGGGTCTGCGTGCTTAACCCCATGGGTTGGTGAGGAGGTCTTGTGGGAAGGTATTTGCTTGGCAGCCGAGATAGGAGATCCATCATATCCACATGAACAAAGCTGGGTAGCACTGGTTGCCTTCATTATACGGAAACAATCCCAATTTCCTAATGATTACAGATTGTTACTATGCTTCTGTCTTTGAGAATCAGGTGGGGAAAATTTGAAATCCACAAAAGGATCAGTTGTTTTTTGTATTTACTCAAAAGAACAACTCTAGAAAGATCTCATATGCAAGGTGTTAAGGAGAAGCAGGTATCATCATTACGTATATGAACACAAACATTCTCTTAAAAGATTACATACTTACATCAACAACATATTATGGGCTCTGAAACTTTCTTGCATTACATTTGGTACACACTACTTGGGAATGAAACAAGATGCGAATGAAATGGCATGAGAAATGAACTCTGAAGTCCCATGTTACTATCTCAGCGCAGATCTTCATGAACTCTTGGGAAACTTCAATAATCATAGACATAAAAAAGTCCCATTACCTTATTCTAACAATCATTCTATAGACTAACAGAACCCTCACTGTTTTAGTTTCCGAATGTATAAATGAAATGCAGAAGAGGAGACCAAGAGAAAACGTGAGAATGCAGATATTGTACGACAACTGAACTTCGATTTTACCATCTCATAATAAAGCAATAATGGCTACAAGCTTAAAATCAATGAATATGAAATTAAAAGCTACTCCCACATCCACCTCATAGGCAAACAGTGGAAGAAAATAGATATTACCTTGACTAAGTTATTCCATCCATCTTAAAGTGTCTCATAGATGAAAATCCAAATCATGCATCTTTTCTGTAAAAAAACAAAAAGAGCTATATCATGAGTTGTCTTGCATTGTGTTAATAGGTGAGAAGGAAGAAGATTTAACAAAGTACTTTCTCTTTCTTCGATCAGCGCCACTGCTCCTTGGGTCATTTTTTGCAAGAGCAGATCCAGGGGCCATGGCAAACTGCATTGGAGAGAGGGCTGGAGCAGCAGCAGGAACAGGAATAGAAGCAGAAGTAGCAGGAACAGTAACGGATGTAGAGAGCCCAGGCTGTGGAGGTGGGGCAGAAGCTGGGGGTGCGGCGACAGGTTCTGGGAGGGGCCTGGGTAAAATATGCTTCAACCGATTGTTCCTATAGTTCTTCCAAAAATAAAACTGCTGCCTGTGCGCCAATTCCTAAAAGCTCCACAAACATATAATGCAATGTGAGCCCATGCGAAACTGAATCAGAGAACTTGTGTTATTAAGTGATGCTAAATCACTCATATGATGGCCATGAAGAAACTTAAAATTACTTCAGTCCAGCTATTCATGCTTCCAACTAACAGTACACTGTGAAACCCCTCAAATGATGCTAATCAGATGGTTTGATCAGCGTTTTGCAATAACAAAAAAGCAGATGTGTTAGGCAATATGCATAGGCATGAAGGCAGAAGCTAAGGTAATCATCAATAGAAATCAACATCAGTCATACTGCTTAAAAGAATATTTTCCGCAAAAGTGCATTAATATGCATGTAAAACACTCAACGAATATGTTATGCACTAATACAGAAGAATACATTCAAGACGAAAATACATGTAGCTTCTAATATAATCATGCCACTGAACCCCACTAGGTTCCAGAAAGAAAATAAGGCTACAAACAGGTCACTTTTTTTTATTCATCATAATAGAAGTAAACCAAAATTATTTGTTGGGCAGGCCTGAAGCCCCTATAGAGAAACTCAAAAAGACTATCCCTTGGTTAAAACATATAAAATGGTGCAGAGAAAAAAAAACTTAGAATGTAACCTTGTTGCCCGGATGCGCCATTGCATTGCGGAAGTTTGCATTTTGGAGAAGCTCAAGAAAGAAGAGGCAATGTGGATACCTATAATCACCCGGTAAATGAGTATATGTGCTTTAAGTAAAAGACCACCGAGACAAGGTCCGTAGGCTTGTATAATAAGCCATTAAAAAGTATATGCTGTGAACTAAGTTTAACAAATGAGATCAACAACACCACTAGATGATCAAGACACTTGGGAAAATAAGCTCACATTATATATTTTATGTACTCTGGCCGTTGCCAATATTGAAGGTACTTTAGGTAGCCAATGAAAGCTTCATCCTCAAAATAACGATTCTGTGCCAAATCTGCACCAGAAATTCATGCACTTATTATACAGAGCATATCCTATGCCAGATACAATACAAACTACAGTTTTTCATAAACCATTTGACCTCTTCCCATTGAACAGAAAGAATGAACCTCTAGCAAGGTGTGTAAGAACTGCAGAGCCAACTTAGTTACCCGAGGCAGTAAATTTATTTATAATAACAAACTAGTATAAAATTTTTATGCATGTAAAGACTAGAGATTGAATACCCAACTGCTGTTTCCTATTACCCAATTCATTTTTTGGCTTCTACTGCCCAACTGGAGGCCAATAGTCCCTCAAAACAATTCCAATCCAGTGATTCTTACAAAACCTGAGTTTACTAGCTCTACCTACACACTCCCACTGAGATAAATAAAAATGTGAGCAATAACATACAGTGGATGTAGGTGGGATGCATTTGACCTCTTTTCATTGAACTGAAAGAATGCACCTCTAGCAAGGTGTGTAAGTACTGCAGAGCTAATTTAGTTACTTAAGGCAATAAATTTCTTTACACTAACAAACTTATATAAAATTTTAAGCATGTAAAAACTAGAGATTGAATACCCAACTTCCGTTTCCTATTACCCAATTCATTGTTTGGCTTCTGCTGCCCAACTGGAGGCCAATATACCCCCAAATAATTCCAATCCAGTGATTCTTATAAAACTTCAGCTTACTAGCTCTACCTACACAAGCACACTGAGAAATAAAAATGTGAGCGATAACATACAGTGGATGTAGGTGGGATTAGAGAGGCACTGGACGAATTCCAATTCAAGTAAGAACCGCTGGCGCCCATCATCTGGATCCTTATAGGTGTTCTTCGGCCTGAAATTGGTTCATGTTTTCGCAACCATTTGCAATTAATCAACGGATTTAAATTCGTTTAACTGCTAAAAGAAAGTGGGAAAAATTAAACAACAGAGAACTTAGAATTCTGATGGCAACTAAATGGGGGAAGGGAATTAGAAAGAAGAGAGCACTTACAAGGACGAAGAGTTGGACGAGTCATCAGTTTCTTGATCCGAAGCCATACCTTAAACCCCAAAAAATTTAACCCCAAACGACCACAAAATGAGTGTACGAGGGTTTCTACTTGCTAACCATAGAGAGAGAGAGTGGCATTTTTCGAAGGGGCCGAAACTTAATATAAACCAAAATACTAAAAAACTTAATATACACAATAAATTTTTATTTCCGCCTCATTTAATTTTTCATTATCAAACTATTAAACCCACTCTTTTTATACTTGCCCAATTAGTAACTAATCTTATCCTGTGCTGCATATACCCTTTTTAATAAATAAACTTACTTTATATTTTGTCGATTTCATTCTTTATCTTATTTGATACACTCACAAAATCATTTTTTCAATATGATTTTTCAATAAGATACATTTTAGTATTACTTTTCAATTTAATTTTGTGTTTGATTTCATGTATGTTATATAAATTTTCATTATTTTCGGTATGTTTTGATATCTTTGTCAAGTTTAATAATTTTTTATTTAAAATTTATGTGTGTGTGTATATATGTATGTTTTTAGATCATTTGTTCTTTTTTTATCTTGTTAGGATTTTGCATCTATACTTACTATTTTTTTTTATTCGATTTTATGTCTGTGCTTGATGCTTATTTTTTTTTTCATATTCGGTTTTGCGTCTTGTAGTTTTACTTGTTCATTTAATCTTTGTTTGGTGTTTCTTTTTTGCTTTGTTGTTTGGTTTGCTTCTTTCTTTATGTTTTTTTCCTTATTTCGATTTATTCTTGTTTCTTGTTTCTTGTTTCGTTCTTTTCTTTTTTTGTTCTTTTCTTTTTTCTTGTTTCAGTATACTTGTTTTTTTACTTGTTGCGTTTTTGACTATTTTTTTTCTTGTTTCAATTTTGTTTGGTTCTTTTTTTTATTTCATAAATATATTTATGCGTTCAAAGTAATTGTTTTCTTTCATTATTTTTTTTTATGATTTATTCTTTCTTTAAAAGGGTGTACATAGAATGAATAAACTTAACTATTAATAAAATGTATGTAGTATGCGGTGAACTTAATTATTAATGAGGTGGATTTAATTACTAATAAGGTGGACTTAGTTACTAATGAGGTGAACTTAGTAGTTTGATAATGAAAAATTAAATGGGGTGGGAATGAAAATTTGTGACTAAGAATAGCCCCACCAAAAAAAAAAAGAGTAAATTATATAAATGACCCTTAAATTAGGATGTTGTGTTAATTAAGTTTATAAAATTTTTTATATCAATTGAGTCTCTTAACTCTCGAATTATTTTCATTGAACCCTTCTATCTATCTTAGTTAAATTTTCTAATAGAAAGTGGCGAAGTCTATCCCTCATTTAACATAAATAGTTGGAATAAATTATGTATGTGATGCTCAAATTATGACCCTTATGTTAATTAAGTTCCTAATTTTTTTTATGTTAATTAAGTCCTGAACTTTTTAACTGTGTCAATTCTAATGGAGACAGATAGAAGGATTTGATTAACATAATTAGAGATTTTATTGACAAAAATAAAATAAAAATTCAAGAGCTTCATTGGCATAAAGGGGCATATATATAGTTTACTAAAACATAATATAAATTAGCACAAATAGAAGAAAGAAACTTAATATAAATTGAGAACTAGAAAAAAGGGGGATATTTCTTTTTATTTATTTATTTTTATTTTTGGTGGGAAAGAAAATATTTAAAAGTCATTGACATTAACTAATACCATAAGAATTTACCAACCCAAAAATAATTGAAATTGGAGATTTGAAAATCTAAAAAAAAAAAAAATTCAAGCTCATTTCCCATGTGGTGTTAAATATGACGTGTTAAACGGTTACGTGTCGGGTTAAATGGTTGACGGGTGAAAAATATGTAAACTCATACACGACCCGTTTAATAAACATGTTAAAAACCTCAACACGAATACGAGCCGTTTAATAAAAATGTAACACGATACAACACATTTAACCCGTATAGTTTTAATTTATAATTAGTTTATTAGTATATTTTTTTGTGGCTATCACTAAATTAAAAAAAATATTATGTGGCTATCACTAAAAATAATATATATATATATTTTGTGGTTGTCACTAAAAAAAAATTGCCTAATTTTTTTAAATAATTATTAATTTACTATTATACTAATTTTTAATGATGCACAAATTAGTCTCGTGTAAAATCAACAGTCGAGTATATGAAGAGATGCAATTAATGAGTAGTAAATAAGATAATCAATGACAAAACAATAAATAAGGGTAAATATGCAGATATATAATTATTTGGTTTAGATGACTTACTCCATTCTCAAAAAACGACAACGGTGACTAGAAGTCTTTATTAATGAATAAAATAATGGGGGAGAGTACACTTTGGGAGAAACTAGAAGTATAGAGGGATGCCAAGATGTAGAGATGTAGAGGTGTGTTGATGTCAAGGTATGTCGAGGTCTCAAGGTGTCTCTCCTTGTGAAGAGAGCTTACTACAATATATAGGTTTGGTAAGGCGGTGGCGTGAGGGAGAGGATACTACTATTTTGGTAAGTACAATTAAGGTAGGATTTAATCTCCATGAGTGCGTATCCCGATATTCTTTCTCCCACATGCTTCTATCTTCTCGGGTTCTTTGGATCTTGGACTGGGTCGGATTGAATAAGTGAGTCTGGATTGCCTTTTAACTGATTTGTGCTTGCTTGATTTATTGTGTCTGACCCAGTCAGATTCGGGCTCGTCAATTTTATCTAAACAGATAAACGGGTTGACAGGACTTATCCGAATACGACCTGTTTATTAAACGTGTCTGATAGGTCAACTCATTTATCACCCGAACCCGTTAAGGTCTCACGCAAACCCGCTTAATTTTTATTAATTTATGTCAATTAATCGTATCGTGTCGTGTCGGACTTTGACAGACATTGCACCCGAATGTTACAAAGAAAAAAAAAACTCTTACAGACATAGATATGAATGGAGCATCAGACAAACATATAGGAAATCCCAACACTGCCGCACATAGATATTAATGGGCAGGCGAATGAAATTCAGGGGTGAACTCTGCACAAGAGATATTTCAGACTGTGGAAACCAGAATTCTGGAGGACACACCCCTAGGATACTCGGTTCGTTTATTTATCTTCTTTTTTTTCTTTTCCTTACAGTCTCCTTTACTTTATAATCAGATTTCAAGCAGAAAAAAAAAATTAGTTGAGTTCAATTCAATCATTCATAATGATTTTATGGATTGATCTAATTCCACACTTATGATTTTCTTGAGTTTTGCCTAATTCTCCCACACACACTGGAATTGTAGAGTGAATGGAAAAATAAAAGAATAAAAAATACAAGTGATATATTTTTTACTCTTTTATGATAGGAAGCATTTTCTCTCTCTCTCTTTTTGTGTGTGTTAGGTATGGATGAAAAAAATAGAAGAATAAAAAAAAAAATAGATGCAACATTTACCATTATATCTATATATTAAATTGATGTGTATATAAAATATAATAAACAAATAAAATAAATACATATACTAAGAATATAAAGATAAATAATATGCATTTAAACACACATAACTGACTTTTCATATACTTTTTCTTCCAATTTTAGAGGTTAATTTTGATGAGACGGAAGGAAACCTAATCCTTCTACTGACTATATTTCATATTCAATTAAAGCCATCTGTCTAACGGCTTTTGGTCCACAGTCTATCATAGCTGGTAAGCCACAGGAATCCCTCATTTTTCTGGAGGACCTTACCTTTCTAGATACAATCCCCAGCTACCTTCGTGCAAGTTGTTTTCAATAATCTCACTCACAAGAAGCTCACAAATAGATTTAGTAGAAATTCTACATTACTACAACAGCCTGTTCACCAGGGAAGGCAGTGTGAGAAAGGATGGAATCTAGGTCAAACTATACACGATAAAAACCCCGATAATTTTGACAACAAATTCCTATTTATATCCCATTTTCTATTTTTTGCCAGAACAAGTAACAAATGCATCAACTAAAACACATAAATCCATCAGTCTTGCAAGCTACAGATTGTCCAAACAAAAAAAAAATGATTAAAAAAGGAAATAAAACAAAGTCAAGCTTTTTGGGTATGCAGATGATGGTACTAAGTAGGCCTTTTTCCGGCAAGTAAAACGGTACAAAGTCTTTAACTCTTAAGCAAATGGCCCTCCAGATAACTGAGATACAGATAAATACTGTAAGCCTATAAGTCAACATGGCACATGCTTCTTTCATCAATGAGGCCAGCAGCCAAACAAGATCATTAGGATGGCCACAAGTCAAGCAGGATCCTCCTCAGTATGGTCTGTACCGGATGGGACGTCGGAACCTTGGAACCCTTCTGCACAAGAAGAGATAAAAAAATCATTACCTGTAAGTTTGTAACCATGAGAACATAATTGTAAGCATGTTAATTAGCCGGGACAGCAATATTTCTTCTCTTCAAAAACATGCAACTAAAACAATGGCGAACACTGCAAAGCAGGTAACTGGCAAATGATGAAATCACAAATATAAGAGATAAATACATAAGCACACAGACAGAACATGTCTTGACCAATGAAGAAAGGGCTCCTCTCATCAACAAAGAAATCATGTAGCTTGACATCATGCTAGCCCTATGCTCAAAAAACATTTAGCTTTAGAACATCTCATACCACGTTGACTATAGAGGGCTAGGGCTCAGAAGGGTGGAAGCAAACTCACTCTACAATAAGAATAACCTTATTTAGGCTCAAGATCCCAAGAGTTGTAAGGAAGATGCAGGTGCTGGTCTTGTGGTAAAAAAAAAACTAGGATTATCACCAGTGCAACAAAGCATTTCCCATGGTACCCATATCCAAAAGGCGCTCTATATTACCACAAATTCAAGGACAAATGACCATACTTGAGACCTAATATACCCTTGGACGATAAAATGAAGGAAGACCTACGGTGAATGTCCTTTTGCACCAGAAAAGGGCATTACAGTAAAGTTGCAGAGTGGGGAATGATATAGCAGCCATGCAATGACTCAGAACATAATTAACCATGACTACGGAATGGTAATGTGACGCTCCAATTTTCGGGGTCTCGTTCAACCCGTAGATCTCCCATCAACCCGCGGAATACCCGTAAATATCATATAACCCGATACCACACCTTTACGCCCCATTTCCAAGGATGCCGCGGGGTGATGAATAATGATGGTTGTGGATGAATGGTTAATATTTAATACTTAGATATTGAGATGTTGGACCTTGGAACAATTATATGGGTGTTCTATGCACAGGTTGTGTATTGGATAAAGCTCCCCGTACAAAGGAGACTAGACATAATGGCGTGGTATCGAATTATACGATTCACAGGAATTCTGCCTGTTGATAGGTGATCAACGGGTTGAATAGGACCCCAGAAATTGGGGTGTCACGCAAGGTAGCCAGTCAAATACCTCTCACAAAGATTAGATGCTTTTCTACCTCATAAGAAAGTAATAAGAAATAAAGAAACACTTTCTTTATAAAATTTTGGTAATGTTCTCTCTAAAGGACATCACAATAATACAACACATTCATCATATGTTTGTCATGGACGAAAAACAGATACAAACAAATACAAATATATCTAGCAATGCAATCTTGAAAAGTAATTTATGTATATCAAGTACCACTGTCGTATATTATGTTTGCCATCTTATGGATCTACTAGTAGTCACTCTGTGCCTGAAGACACTCTGTTGATTGTGCAACATTTATATTTTAAATAACAATTTATTTTTCCTTTCCTTTTCTTTAATTATGCAATTTAAGATTAAAATAGATAGAGAGAAAGTAAGAGAGAGGTATGGAAGAGAGAAGGGAGAAGTAAGTGTAGATTAGTGGAGTTGTTTGATATTGGGGAGTGCAGGTTGAGTTGTCTAATATTAAGGGTTGTACAAATAAAATGATATTTTTGGGTTTTTTTTTTTTTTTTTTGCAATGAATTTTATACCGTTAGATAAAATTGGATGAATATTGAATTAATCTCAATAGTTCTCGTGTTTTTATAAACGTCCAATTCAAATTGCTAGTACATAGATTTTTATAAATGTACACTGATGCCCTATTCAAAGAGCCAATAAGACGCAGAATAAGAAAAGGAGACCTGGACCTGATGTTAACATTGCCACTCAAACCAATAACATTATAAATTCTAATCAAGAAAAGCTCCATAACATTTTGAGACAGCACCTTTCCACATTTTTTTCATGTTTTTGAGGCACCACATAATTTTTTTTTTTGATAAGACATGGCATAAAAAAATTTAATGCTTACCCATAAGCAAATGGAGGATAGACAGGTGGGCCAGGCATGAAAGGCCTTCGGGATCTAAAACCAAGATATGGATTGGGACGCCTTCCTCGATATTGTTTCATTCCGGGTACATTAGTTCGCTTAGCAGCTACCTGGTGACATTGAAGCCCAAAAATTACAATAAAAAAAGGTAAAATCAAGAAGTGTCAAAGTTATAAAGTTCCACATGTCGATCCAAAGACCTTCAATTGGCGACCATGCAACTCAGATTCATTTAGAAGAACAGCATTTTGAACAGCATCAATTTCAACAAACTCCACATAAGCAAAACCTTTAGGCTGACCAAACTTGTCAGTTAAAATCGTCACTCTGTTGACTGTTCCACAGGACTGAAAATGCTGCTGTACCTCTTCAGGTGTACATGCATAGTCCACCTGAAGTTTCAGTCAAAAATAAAGAGCAAAATGGTTATATACTCTTGATCAAAATGGTTATATACATTGGAAGAAGTAATACAGCAAAGCCAGCTACTATGATCCCATATTAAATGATATTGCATATGAAAGTGCATTTGTTCTATTCTGCAAGATTAGTTAACATAGTGCAAGCATGGGTAGGTCTGCCTTTGCGCTACTAAATGAATCTGACTCTTACAAACAGCAAGAGTCAGATTCATTTCCATGAAAAATGAAACTAGTTTATCACTCCTGCACTCTTACAAACTGCAAGCACTAACTACTTCAAAGGAATTCTTTTTGTACATTTACGATCTCTTGAGAAGTTGAAATCCAAGATTAATGTATAACAACACAGGCAAAAGATAACCTAGATGCAACTTATGTTCATACAGTTACGAAAGAGGGAAAAAAAAGAATAGAAAGCGAATTGGAATGAGATAAAGGAATGTAAACCTCACATTACCAACATATATTGAGCGGGAATCCACCTCCTCCTTTTCAGCCTGAGTAGCAGAAGCACCAGAAGGATCTTCACGCATGCAACCAAAAATGTGCTTAAACATATATCATTGATGCAAATTGAGGAAAAACAAGTGACAAACAAAAAGAGTAAATGTATGCATAAATAAAAGGATAGTTTTCTTAAGACCTACTATATGGAAATGGGTCTAGTCTAAGATTTGAAATTCCATCTTATTACCGTATTGTTAGTTTTGAAAATTCCCACATTATAAGGACTCACCTGTAGAGGTTTTTTCAAAAAATTAAGGGCCAGCACTATATATTTTCTCCCCCATGTAGGCTAAATGCTTGGATCATTCTATGGTTATAATGTTATTATCCGCTTTGATCCCCATTAACCGCGGGTATCAAAGTGTAGAGGAGTGACATACCTAACCTTCGATATTATTTCTACAAAGCGATTGTAGAAGACTCAAACCCACAACTTCCATTTACTGATGTGTTTGGAAGTAGCTATATATAAAATAGAGAGAAATTCTACTCCACCTGTTGCATGTGTAGTTAAGATTTATAAAGTCATAATGAAAATAGATAATGCATTTGAAAGTCAAAAAAAACTCAAATTAGAGAGGTTGTATAAAAATATTGTAAAGCCTTCATGGATGGAGCATTTCCCATTTCCAAGAAATGTCACACAACATTTTTTCAACCCTTTCTTCAAATAAGGTATATACGCTGCAAGTACAAACTGCGGATTGACAGTTTCTTTAAAATACTCAACAAGCATCCAAGGGATGCCAAGGAATCTACAGGAAAGAAAAAAGAAGGCCAAGGTTTAGACATGTCAGATAGCTAATTGGCATTGCAACCATGAACCGTTTTTGTCCCCACTCAAAATCTTAATTTTGGATGTTATGTGCTGCCCACAATCATTTCTTTTTGGCTTCACAAAAATACATAAGATGATTTATCCACATACTTTTTGTCAAAAGGTACATTTTCTGGCATTTCATCTGTAAGCATTTCCACAAGGATTTGAAAGTACTATGAAAAATTATTCAATCCTTTAGGGATATAACAAGTTAAAACAAGGAGAGCAGCTATAGATTTTGAAGATTACAGTCTCCCGATAAGGGAAAACTCAAAAATATTGCTAAATAACATAGCGGTATAAGTAAAGCTAGCAGTTGCCATGCAAGTGAAGATTAATGATGAGGATTATGCCAACAAACAATAACTTCTGGTTTTCTAGGACCAAACACATAAGGATGGGAAGATCAAATTAGTTGCCACCCATTAATCCAACGGGATAACTGGTTCATGCTTAGTGGGAGGAGACACTCTAAAAAGTGGTTACACACAAGAACTAGAAAACACAAACATATATATCCAGAAAAACAAGGTAAATAGGATCATGGCAGATCCATTGTAAACCAAAGGTTGAAGCTAACTATGATACAACAGGTGCACAGGGTCTGAGGTAATCAGAATAGAATGGAATATTGCAATTTGCTCTTTTTCACATGCATTAGAGCGGATCTAAACTGGGCAGGAATGTCAACATCTTCACTGAAACATCACACGACTACACAACAAAAATTGAAAAGAACACAACCACAAGGAATGGAAACAGAACCCTCACAAGTCCAGGGCAAACTGAAGATTGAAGCTCCTCATAATGTGATGAGGCTAACAAAATTTTGTACATTTTCCAGAGGGTGCTGTCTATAAAGTGTTTCTACTCTCTTTAGTGTGGGTTCCGCCCATTAAAGTTGTACCCTCGAATTATGACATACGTTCAGAATCGTGCTCCCTTATTCCAACAAAAAAGCCCATTTACATTAACTTAGCTTATTCAATGCACCTGATGAACAATTTCACATGTTTGATTTTACATTCTGATTATCACCTGAATACAAGCTTCCAAACTGTATTTTATCTCTACAATACCACATAACGCAAATTTACAGCAAACAAAGGATAAATTTTACAACCAAGAGAAGGAAAAAACATAGAAAGAGGGGATTCTTTTGTTCTTTTATAAATAATACCAATAAAGAGAGAATGTTAGTTATATCTCATAAAGCATATAATATTTGCAATAACATGTCCACAAAACGCAATTTCTGGAACATTAAATTCAAGTTTTACAACTTTATTTCATCTACCTCTGTGATGCACAACATATTCCTAGCTAGAATCCATATTTGTCAACCTAAATTTACCATATGTGTTCGATTCTTATCAGATCGTATCGACTAGTCCAGTTCGTTAATAAATGAAGTCATGACTTGCCCTAATGAAAAAGGGCTGGATGCTCCCCTCTCACCTACTTCTTCCTCAGTTAGTTTATTACCCAATTATGTCAATCCTAATCTACTACCTAAGCTTATTACACAGTTAATCGATTACATTGTACCCAGCAAGGTTGTGAGTTGCTCATATTTGAGTTGCCTTAGGGCACCAAAAGTAAGCTAAACTCAGGTGGTAAAACCAACCACATTTTTTTAGGATTAGAAAAGTAAAACTAGCTAATCATGAAAGCTAATACTAAACGGTTATTAAGAAACAAAATAAATTATTTATAGAAATAGGAGAAGTTGCTAATCATGCCCATGGATAGCTAGGAGAAAACTAAATACACAATGGTCACAGATGATTCCCACAAAGGAAATAAAAATTGAATTACAAGCAGAAAAAATATCAGCATACTCTGGGAAGATGCGCTGAAATATGCAAATGGACCGCGTTGAGCATTTACATCTCGTCGTCCTTGCCCACTCATTATCCTTTAGGATTTTAGAGCAGTAACCAGTATAGAAATGTAGATCTATGGAAGCAGATTATACGAATGCAGGTATCACCCTCCACCACGATTCAATGTGAAACTGATCGACTGATAAAAATGACGAGTAGAGAAGAAGAGGAGCTCTAGATAGAAAGTAACGCATCTATAGAAAAGGTGACCTACTTTCCAGGTAGGAAATAGAGTTTTTTTTTGGTCAAAGGAAAGAGAGTGATTACCTATAAATTTCACGTAATGTAGTAATGTGTTTGCATTCAATTGGCTCATTTGCTTATTCGATCCAATCACCAACCAACACGTAAGCAGGCTTAGCAAATGTAATTGGCCTACATTTGCTTATTTAGTCCTGTTCCAGCCCTTGATTACTGATTGGCCTTAAGGGACTAGACATTATGAATTATAGCAGGATTATTTCTTCCTGCACTACTCATGAGACTAGTTGAGCCAAAAAAGTGATTGCTCAAGTGTCCATATTCGAAAAATGGACTAATAACAAAGGGTTCAATCTTTGGCTTGCTTTATTCTTGAAGTAGTTCAAATATTTTCCCATTTAGCAAATTCCAGGTTTTCATGAACATATTAATCCTCCTTCTTGTAATCCTACCCTTACTAGGAGATGAAATGTCATATTATTGGACATCTTAATATAAAATTTGGATAAGGATATTGATCCAAAACAGAGACATTCATAGCAGCTCATAATGAAACATTAAGACATAAGCAGGATCTTGAACTTCACGACTACAACCTTCAATCCCTACTTCTTGCATGTTCCTCCTTTGTTTTCTAAATTGCTACTCTATGAAATTAGCACAATTTGGGTTTATATGATTTAAAGTCTTCAAGAAAATAGAGTGCGTGCTAAACAAATTGTTCAACACAAGATCCTCACTTTTAATCACCTATACTAGTAAATCAAAGTTAGAGGATGAACCACTGCCCAGTAAAAGCATGAGAGATTAATGTAAGACTTTTCAGCGAACAATCGAAACCTTAAATGAAATAAGCCCCTTATAAACCAAGTTAGCAAACGATAAACAACTTTGAGGAATAGATTTCTTCCACATATTGTGTAAGAGCTTGGAATTCTAAGATACTATGGTTCTAATACCTTCTCAATTTTTCACTTCTCTTCGTCAGATTAAGTTTTCCTTTGATCTAGAGGTTTCTTGCCACATTTTGTACTTAGTAATATCATAATCAAGTGTGTTATTTGGAAAATTTTTAACCTCTGCATGTGCATGTTGACAAGGGCCACCTATGTATCCGGTTCACCAGCATCAACACTACATTGGTGCCAACTTCAACATTTAAGGATAAAGCAGCAATATCAGTATGCGCAAGTGGACAGAATTAGATATAAAAATCCTAATATATATTTTCATATTGAATTCAAACCAATTGCATCCCTAATAGAACTTATCATCCAACCACATTCACCGAAGACAATGAGATATTAGATCATCCAAAGGCTCCATTGATTAAATTGTATCTTTAAACCCAAAATTCAATTTGCACTCGAAAAAGTCCTAATTTTTCAGTCGGAACAAACGGAAAATAAACAGAGATTCGCAACAAAACTAATGTAAAATAATGGAAACGTGTCCCCCCCCCCAAAAAAAAAAAACATGAAACATACCAAGAAATATCCAAATTTGAGCATACATAACATCGAGAGTAGGGGAGTGAGTGTGTTGTGAGTGTTTGAGTGAGACCTTGAACGGGGCCCATTTCTTTCTCAACTTTGGCCTGCATATCCCGAAGAGCACCCGCTTCTTCTTCAATCTCCTTGAGTCTTCTTTTCATGTCCTCCAAGTCCTATTCAACATCAAAAAGAACAAATTAGGGCCGTCTACAAATCTATACATGAAGATAGACATTAATAGAGAGAAAAAAAAAGAAGTCCAGAGAGAGAAAGTGAAAGAACTAAACCTTAGTATTAGAGTCCTCGTCTTCAGCCCTAGAAGACATCTCGACATCGGCGTCCATGTCTCCTTCATCTGGAATTTCTCCACCGTACACTTCGTGTTCTTGTTCTTGATCTTGATGCTCCATCTCTCTCCCTCTCTCTCCCTTTCCGTATGCTCTGCTCTACTTCCTCAGTCTACTCCTTCTCTCGCTATATATATGTGCGAGTACATGTCATGTGGCCTTCGTGTTGAGCTGAGTCTGATTTTTAAGGGCTCGGATTGGGAGGAGGGAAGGAGACGAGGAGGAGACGAAACTGTCATTTGGTAAATTAATCAGGGGTATTTTGGGACTTTAATAACGATTTTAAAAGTGGGTCTGGAGCTTATGAAACATAGTGAGCTGGGCTTTTGATTTGACTTCATCTGCAGGGTCAGGCCAAGATTCAAGACCAGCCCACTTAGTTTGGGCTAAAGTAAAGCTAGTCAGGCCCTTTTTGCGAGTTGATCATAATTTGAACCTCCAAAATACAATTTTTTTCCCTTTCCTCTCGGCATCACTCACCACTTTTTCTTTTTTTTAATGGTCAAAGATTGTTTGATTCAATTTATACGCATCTCAATAATTTTTTTTCTCATTCAGTTAAAAGCAGATTATCCATGTCAGAACTAGGGTATTCATAAGATATATATTTCTCATGGTCTGATCCCTAAGGAATTTTCAAAATTCAAACCCGAGACGTCTAAATTTACAATCTGTCTTTGTTACCACAATTTTTTTTTTTTTATGTCTCTCTCTCTTGCTCTTAGGGATGAGAATAGGGAGATATTTTAAAATTCAAGGAGAATCAAACGAGTGGGGATGATCGTTTTTTGATAACTCAATCATGCACCATATAATCTAACAATTAAGCTCGTCACTGTAAATCTTTAAGGGGTATCATAATTCATTCACTCTACTTAAGTGTAGCCAAATTTTTTTTAAAAAAAATCAATACCCTCTAATTTTATATCGAGAAAATAGTTTAATAGTGTGCAATTGTAGTATTTCCTATACCTACCATATGTAGCTTAGTAAGATTTTCACCCAATCTTGGAATTTTCTTAACTTATTAGTGTAATGAAGAGACAAAGGGGCCAGATTTTTATTTTTTTTTCCCTTCTTTTGGGCAAGCAGAATTTATAACTGAATCAAATGTATTGCTGTTAAATTACTTATATTTAATCTAAAAACCATAAAAAAAAATCAATTTCAATTAATTACAGCATAGTTTAATAAATAAAATTTAATGCAAGTAAAATTCATGCTCCTAAACGGTAGCTAAATCGAATTCATCCTCTTATCTATTAGCACGAATGTTTCTCATCATTAATCACCAAAAAAAAAAGAAAAAGTCCCAATTAGAACACAGAAAAAAGAGATCTTTCACCATGAAGCTTAGCAAATTCGTGG